GCAGTGAACTTGTTCACATATGAAAACTTAATCTGTTCCAATTAAATACTACATACCTAGAAAGGAAATAACCTCAGGTCTTGTGGATTCTGTAGCTAGTTCTCAATTGGAGCTCAGTTTTGATATGTTGTGCCATTTGCAAATCCCATTGCACATGAGGACGATACTGAACATTTCCCTAGCTTCAATAAAGGATCAAGTGGATCGATTATTTCATACTGTTAAACTGAACCATTTGGTTTCTTCCATTCGATCCTATAACCCAGACATGCCATTTTAGAAACCATCCTCACCAAATTCTCTTCCCACCAGTTTTCCCTCATGCTATTTAACTTTTGGAGCAGTGACTTCCAATGGGTGAGGTGTTGCTTTTGGAAGAGGGAGGGGCGCGGTGATCTCTTCCACCTCCAACCCTCTTCCAGGGAACTGTGACCAGACCATACACCAATCAGGTGCTGGCCTTTGCCTGGACCTAAGACCCTTGGAGCAAGGGATCCTGTCTGAGGGCTCCTGGTTATATACAGGCCGCTCCTGCACTCCACTGTGCCACAGGGGATATCGTGACTGCTGACAGAGGAACAACACTCCCACCGCCCGCACACCTCTACACCCCCAGAGTCACAAGATCCTGGAGCAACCCAGGACTAAGTCATTAAGTTATGGTGGGGTGTATGCAGAGGGGTCAGGATCCTCAACAGGTCAGGGTTCTTGGGGAGATGGGGACAGGAGGCAAAGTGAGGAGTGGCTCTCAGTCTTCCCTCTCCCCACTGGATGTCCAGTCCTTCGCTCAGACTCTTTGACTGACTGAGGAACCCAAACTCCCAACCCCAAGGCTGCCTGCAGGAGAGGAGCTGCCATGGTTGGCTTCATACCATGCCAGGACCAGGGTTAATGCCAGCAGTGACAGCAGGCCAAATCCCTGACCCGTTTAAGAGCCTTACTTTGCAGTGGGCCATCCCAGCCAGAAATGAATTTGTGTGGAAGCAGAGAGACAATGTAGACCACAGAAGTTGTTACTTTCTTCATAGGAAGCTACTTGAACTCAGCATCAAATCCATAACCAAGATTAGTTGGCACTGTTAGCTCCCCCACTCACATCCTTGTTCCCTCCGAGTAACATACAGCCAAGCTCCAGATTTTCCATAGTTTCACCTTCCATGTCCTATCTTCCCCTGAATTATGCCCATTTATCAGAATTGTCTTCATCAGTCTGTTTTCTCAGTTTTAATACTTCCGATTCCTGGCATTAGGCATCCTCCATACCCTGTGTCATTTTGAATGCTGGCTCTGCTTTCATCTCTTTTGTCCCTTTGCATTTTCAGTGCGGAATGGCCTGAGGGAGATTCCTAAGTCTCTCAATCTTGCTACCACTTTGCTCACCTTCAGAGATACCTTCCAAGCCCAGCTCTTTAGTTATCCCTTCAGCATTTGCTCTAACTTCTTCACCAACTCCTTGGTATTCAGTGCACGTTTGCGAAACACCAAGGGACATGAAATGTTTATATATATACCGTTTGATACTGAAATGGCTGAATTTGCCATCTATAAAATGTAGTAATTTCTATTTTTGTGGTGGAAAAATAAAATTTAACAGATCTTGTTATAAAATTATGAAGACTGGTTTCGAACACCTAATACCTTGCAGGTATAAGTTGATACAATGGGAAGACAAAGGAATGTAAGAGGCAGGTTTCACTTCCCAGTATCTAAAGACAATCATTTCATACAAATTCCGAATCCAGCTTCCTGTTATATTTGAGAATAGGATTAACCATAACTGTCCCCAACCCCCAGGATCCTTCCTGTGCATTCACACTTGCACAGAAGTTCACAGAATCATTTTGGTACAGGTGGAGACCATTCACCCATCATGTCTACTCCAGCCCTCTAAGCGTTTTAATTTGGTGCCCAGATCTCCTGCCATTTACCTATAACCCTGCACATTATTTAAATGAAAACAACCATCTGATGCCCTCTTGAATGCAGTGCATTCCAGACACTAAGTACTCGCTGTGCGAAAATGTTTTTCTGACCTTGTGCCTGCTCCTTTTGCAAAATGTTTGAAATTTGTGCCCTCCAGTTCTTAATCTTTTATGGTGGGAACAGATTTTCCCTATCTGTTGTGTTCAGACCTTTTATGAATTTGAAAACTTCTTCATGGTAAAAACGTCCCAACTTCTCCAATTTTTCCTCAGAAGTGAAGTTTCTCATCCCTCATCTCAACTACTCTCATAACCCTCTTCTGCTGTCTCTCCAATGATTTCACATCCTTTCTGTAGTGTGGTACCTGGGACTGTACACAATACTCCAACTGAAGTCTAACCCATGTCCTATGCAAAGTTATGATATATATATATACACACACACTAATATGAACCTTCCTGCTCTTGTATTCTGTGACCTTATTCATGAAGCTGGAATACTGTATGCTTTATTAATAGCTCTCTCTACCTGTCTTGCCACCTTGGATAATGAATGTACATGTACACCCAGACCTCTATACTACTCTGTATTCTTCAGAATAGTACCTTTTTATTTATACCAATTCTCCTTGTTCTCTGTACCAAAATTTCATTTTGTATTGAACCACGTGCCACCTATCTACCCACTCTGCCAACATGTCAGTGTTCTTTTGAAGTTCTAATTAGATCCAAAAGTATTGCTTTCATTCCTCCCTGTTCTAGATTTGAAGCTTTGCTCTCTTGTAAAATATGCAAAGTAGGAAACATATTTGCTTTAAACTTCTCTGTACTTAAATACAGTGAGGGTTTGTGGAAAAGCAGAGATTTGACGGAATGGCAGTTTATCAGAACTTTTTCCAACTGGAGGCAGTGCTGCAAACCCTCACTGTATTTAAGTACAGACAAGTTTAATGCAAATATGTTTCATATTTTGCATATTTACAGGAGATTAAGCTAGGGTGGGGCTATTCTCTCTGGAAAGAGAAATCTCAGAGGGAGTTTTTTCGTAAAACATGAAAGCATTTCGTAGGGTTGATGTGGAGGGGCATTTTCCATTTGAGACTCCAGACCAAAAAAGTATAAATGCAGAATAACAGAACAAAAAATTGAAAAGGAATTTCTTCACACAGTCATGAGAAAGTACGGTGTGCTGCCACATCGAATAGCTGAAAGAGATATGGTGACGCAATCAGGCAGCAGCTTGGTGAGGGGAGCACATCCATGGTGATCAGAAGACCCATTCAGCCAGACATTATTCCCAGATGGAACGTATGGAACTGTGTTCACAGGAAGTGTTTGGTATTAAGCTGTATTGCAGAGATGTTTATTAGAAATGAAGTAGTAAGTTCATTTAATGCGATAAGTTTTCATTGATGAGTGTCCCAGTTAAAGGGAAATCTTTAACTCATGATTTTATTGTCATCCAGGGCAAGTTCTCTTCATGTTTTCCTTTTCCAATAGTGATTCACCATTGCCTTAGTGTTAGGCGAGTAGGCAGGTCCCAAGTCTCACTGAACCCTGTTGCTGTTGGTGTTATTCTGAACCACATGCTGGTTATCCAACTCCATCACCCTTTCCTTCCTGCATGTCCTTTCCAAAAGTCACATACTGGTGAACATTTAGTTCCAACTTTGATCTTGTTGTGACTATGTTCCATTATGGCTATAAGATCACACCCATGAACCTCTAATTGAGACATTCATCCACTTTGTTTATTCCAAATACCAAGCGCATTTAAATAAAGAGCCATTCATTTTGCCTTTTTACCAGTTTTTTTCCCTTTGTCCCCATTTGCTGATGTTTTCTTATGCTTGTACGTTCTTTACTTTCCTGTCCCACTCTGGGTATCAATGCCAAAATAGTTGCCCTGCAGTGCCACCAGATACTCTTGCTTTGTAAGCCTACTTCTTCCCCTCTACCCTCCCTCTCCTACACTCCTCCCCCCACAAAAACCCCTCACACACACACAGGCATGTGCTGACTCACACACGCGCACACATACACATACACAGGCACGCACATACACACAAACACACGCACACACAGATACACACAGACATACTCACACAGGTGTGCACACACACAGACACACATACAGGTGCACGTACACACACAATTAGTTCATAGCCCCATTCTGCAGCCCTTTGCAGCGCTGCTGCTGGTCCTGGAGTCGCTGTGCGGCAGCGAACCCCTGACTGACATGCAGCATCACTGGGTGGGTCATCAGTGGGCGGGTCATCATTGGGGAGGGATCATCAGTGGGTGGGTCATCATTGGGTGGGTCATCATTGGGGAGTGTCATCATTGGGGGGGGTCATCATTGGGTGGTTCATCCTTAGGCGGGTCATCATTGGGTGGGTCACAAAGTGATCCCGGCAGCGATCCCACCAGCTGACCACGTTTGAGCCGGAGAGGTGAGTGCTCCTGGAGGCTTTCCCATTCATTGTGGCGAGGGTGGGGAGCGCTCTCTGTTACCTGCCACCACACATACACGAAAAGCGGAAAAATTCTGCAGTTTATATTTTCAAACAATCGGGAAATGTGGAATGAATCATCCAGCAGATTATTTAGTACTTGTAATTTACTAGCTTGCTGGAAAATGTCCACTTGCCAATGATCTGCACATTTGATCATTGTGGCCAGTTGAACAAACTCTTGGGGAGTTTGTGGGAAGATTGGAAACTCTAAAAATAATTTCCATAATTCATATCCAGATTATGTTCACTAATAACCCTGAGTTCATTTAAACTTGCATTCTTTATTTCTGTGTGAACCTTGTCCTCACATTACCTCATGGAACCATTGCAAATATTTGCACAAAAGTGCAATTCCCAAACATAGTCCATGCAGAAACATTTTGAATTTGACTGCAGAAGTTACTTTCTCAACTCAGGGAATAAAATGTCCATTTTATGTCTTTCCCAAGGTCAAATGTCAGTAACTAGTTCTTCATTTTCACTCAATGTGGCATCATCGCTGGTAAACTTTCATTTTGTGTTCTTTCAATAATCATCCTGACATTTTCTCCTCTCTCTACAGTGCGGCAGAAGTGCTGAAAACTTTGACAAGTTCTTCACACGAGGACAACCAGTGTTAACGCCACCTGACCAGCTAGTCATAGCTAACATTGACCAGACAGAGTTTGAAGGATTTTCATTTGTAAACCAAGAATTTGTTCACCCTAGTTTAACCAACGTTGTATGAAACACAGAATGAAGAGGACAAGCAGCAACAGCAAATCGGCCTGTGTTTAAAACATCTATAATAAATCAGCAATTAACTTTACAAGATAATAATGTTCAGAAAAAGTTAAGGAACAAGCACTTTTGATTTTTAGAAAAAATTAATATACTTTAAGGAGATTTATTGACAATTTTACTGTCCAGCTTTAAATCAGTCTAATATAATTGTGAATCGTTCTGATAACTAAAAAGCAAGAAGGTTTTAAGGAATGCCTTCTCCTCTGCTGGATCTAACTTTTTCTTAAATGCTGAGATACAAATTGCAATATACCTGTGGCCCTGCCCAAGGGACCAGCTCTTTCTCACTTTGTCTTCCCAATAATCAAAGATGGTCAACAGTCTCAGTATCAAAAACAACTGTTTCTCCAAAAAAATGTTGTGGATGAACTATGTTTGAGTAAATCCAAATTTGTATCTCATGACATTCTCCATGTGTAATTTGCACTACTATATCAAACTGATATTTCCATCTAGAATGCGGAACAAGAAATCTGAAGGTATTGCAGGGAATAGTTGAAAAGCGGAGCAGAGGATAAAAAATCGATCAAATTCTGTTGGTATTTTAACATATACTAGAAATCACTGTCCAAAGTAACTACTGAGAGGATGTAATACATTTTCTCCTATGAATCACATTCAGTTTAACATGTTCCTCTTCAAAAATATAAAAATGAAATTTAGTGCACAAAACTAACAATCAGTGCTGGAGACGATTCTGCTACTTTTATATCAAACTACAAAGAATGCTGCGCTACAATTGTCCAGCTCATACCTCGTTACAGTTTATTGTATGGGATGAGTTTTTTTTAGGAATAGCAATGTTCATCTTGCAGCAAAGCTTTGGCTTTGACTTTATTAGAGCATATCTTCAATGTATTATAGGAGCACCGACTTCATACAACAGCGTTTGGCAAAACTGTCTTTCACTGTATTAAAATGTGCAATGAAATCATGTAATTGCATCACTAAAGTAGCATCCAATCACCTGAGCAACATTTTGAGAAAAAACAGTGCGGCGCTTCTCATGACAGTCTCCCTTTAAAATGCTAACTGAAACTTTTCTCAAACTTTTAAAAGACCTATTGTAATTTTTAAACTAAGACTCAGATGGGTTTTTTTCCTTCTGAAGATATTTGCTTGTACTGTTAGAAAGCAGCCTTTCAAAGAAAATACATTCAAAAGCAATTAAAGTACTTGTTGTATCGTTTAGCTCCTGTACTTACCACTACAAGTGAACAAAACTGTTTTGGTCAAACTTACTTTATTTTTCTTAAGGTTGAACAGTAAATGCTAATTCTTAAAGAGCCACGTTTAAGTCCATGCGTGCACCTTCATTCAATTTACGAAACGGGAGTCAGTTAAGATTGTTTTTGCCTTGATTTTGGAAACAGTAATTTAGTGACTTACTATTCTGCCTTTAAGAAATGCATGTCAGAATACAATATAGCATGTTGTTGATAGGTGCCGTATGCAACAACATTATGAAAGCACATATGTTTGGTTGTTGGTCTAAACAGTGTTTGCTGTATCTAAGTTGAAAATGCACCTTTTAGAAAAACAAATTACAGTCAAAAATAGCAAGTTCTTTTTAAGTCACATCCTTCTTCTGACTAATGGTCACATTCATGTCTACTATTTTCATATTACATAATTCAAAGTCACACGCCTGATTCTACCAATTTATTGAAGATATAATAAGTGTACATACGCAGTCAGCCCCGGTAGCTGTAACATCAATATTTAAAAACAAGCATTAATTGATGCTGAATGCAAAGTTTTAGATGAATGAAAAAGGTGAATAAAATATATCTAATGCCTACTAAACACTTAAGCACTGCTATGTGATATCTTTCACAATTTACAGTAAATTTTCGGACCAAACTTTTTACTAATTGAGTTTACCTAGTCAGCTTGAGTACAATTAATTACTGAACCGGAGACGATAGGAGGGGGAAATGCTTGTAAATTAAATGCAAATATCTATATATAATATATATTCTGGTAAGATTGAAGAAAAGGTTCGGGGTTGATCAAGTATTTGATCTCCAAATATCTCAAAATTATTTCAAAAGGCAACCATCTCAAAACAATAAGGAATTAACTTTGATATTAATCTGATTGTTTTGTTTTAAATGAAATTAAGAAGATATCATTGAAGGGATGACTTGGAGAAACTTGTAGGTCCCATGATTTAGGAGAAATGGAGTATAACAGTAGTGTGTAACATTAATTCTTCTTGTTTACATTGTTGGAACCAGTAAGCACCCCAGTTCTGTATTTCTTCTTAAATGTTATCCAGTTATTGTAGTTCAAACAATTCTTTCTCCAGATTAACAAAATGGATAGCAAAGTAAAAATGGTTATTCATCTTCTTTGAACAAGGGCTAAATATCGAAAGGAATATTGATAATGAGACTGCCTCTTTAAATATGTTTTGAAGCTGTTATAAAGAAAGCTTGCATCACTGTACAGAGCGTTATGCAGGCTACGTTGTCTAATACGATATGTACTGCTGAATAAGATATGTTTCCAGGTAATTTGTTATCCCTCACTCCAAATAAACCCTCAGCCACTCAACTACCTGCTTTCACTTCCTTTGCGCCAAATTGCCACACACCATTTTAAGTGTTCTTTAAACAAAAGCTTTTAAAGTAAATTATAGATTATATATTTGATGAACATGAGTTTTAAGGTGACAATTCAATCACATGGCTTTGGATGTTTTATAAACTGCTTGAGCTTTACCCTCTCATTATATTCAACCAGCTTCTCCTCTCAAACTGCTAACTCCCCTGCCAGCTAAGTGTACCCTATTGATTGGCTGCAGAGCTCATATCATTGCCTTATCAACATCACTTTAGGTAAAACTAAAATGTGACTCCAGTTGAGTATGTAGATTCACAGAATACAGCAATGACATCATTTCCCTCAAGTAAGTAAACATAGCCCTGCATTTCAGACAGTCCATTAAAATGGGAGGTACAAATGACCTAGTCAACTGCTTTACTGACAGGGAGAAAAATTATCAATCTCTCTGAATTATTTAGGAAGCCCAAAAGTTTGCATTCTACATAAAGTGGAGAGATTCTTAGCACCTTGAAGTGACGGGTTTTCTGTATGGAAGGTTTATGTGACATATCATAGAATTTATTGTGGGCATGTTTGTCTGTAGAAAAGCATCTCATGTTTCCTCTCTTCACACTATATTGGTGGATAAATACCCACATGTCTAGAATTCACTTCTTTTTTCTTGAAAGGTATGAATGTTCCAAAAAGCACTGATACCAGGATTCTTCAACATTGATACATCTTCATAAAAACCTCCAAAACTAGTAACATTGCAGAAAACTATATGGGAAATGGTACTGACAGAACTGCAACTCACCAGGAATTGCTACAATAATTTGCAGGGGTTTCTAGCCAGACTTGGTTCCAGGTGCTGAATTGCACAGTGGCTGTAATGACTGTGGGAGTCATTCAGATTGCAAAAAATTCAATACATTCTGCAGGGTAAGCTATTACATCATAGTTGCCCTGTAGATTTTCTTTTCAATCCAAAAATAATCAGTAGTTCAATTCCATTTTAGCTAAAGTTTCTCATTGTTTCCAGAGCTAGTAAAACGACCAGAAAATCAATTGAAAAGAACAATATGTTCATATAAACCAAAAACTAAAGTCACAGTATCTCCTCATGAAGGTGATATTTCAAATTTCTGATTTGCAATGGCAAAAGTCATATCCCTGTCATTTATGATAAACAATAATATTGTTTTCTTTACCACTGAATTCTAAACACTTAGGAACTGTAGCAAGCCTACAAGGGAATGAGAACAGAGGTGACATTATTCACTTAGCAATTGGTCGGATATGGTACATTATTAAAACACAATGTTTTACTTCTATTATATATTAAGAGACTTGCTTTCCTCAAATTGTTTTGCATGGTATTGTTTGTTATATGTTCATTGTAGTTTGACAATGTGTAAAAATAAACAAAGTGGCTGTCAGCTATGTTTTCTTTGATTTCATTGTACCCCTGTAGGGTTTTAGTCACCCTTCCTCCTTGCCTAAAGGTCCTGAAAGTTCTGGGCAGTCACTGAACTCACCAAGCAGCCAGCGTCTGTGCCCAGTGTTAACCATTTCAGTGCAGAGGGTCTCAATGTCACAACTGGATCAGTCAGGGAATCGAGGGTTCTGGAGAGAACACAGGGAAGTGGACGTGAGGAATGTCGGATCAGGCATGATCCTATTGAATGGCGGAACAGGTTTGAGGGGCTGAATGGCCTACTCCTAAACCTATTTCTTACAGGTGTTAAACCAGATCCATTTCTCCACTAAATTCCAGGCTCAACTTTCTGAAAGATATCAACATGTAATTGTGAAGAATCCAAACTCATTTATATCCTCACCAGCTTTACAGTACTGAGGCCAATTGGCACATCCATTGAAATCAGCGCAGACTGAGCATCAAAGCTGGGACCTGTTTTTGATATGGCTTAGCACTGCTCCAGGAAAAACCCAATGTCCATTTGGATCATCACAACCTTCCTTTCTAAAAGGGAGAACAATGGATTGGGCAGTAGGAAGGAGTCACATTGTCGAGTTGTACATTTCTGCTGAGGCCTATTTGTGCAATTTCCCCACATGGAGAGGTTCGTGATCCTAAATCAACTGTTTCATCCTCAGCCCCAACCCGAGCATGAGGATGACACGTATGTGCAGTTTCTTCACTTGGACATAGACTGCCTCAATTGGTATATGGTGAAATTGGGAACTAAATTAGATCATTTTTAAAGTGGATTAAACACCAAACCACACTGTGACTTGGATAAAAAAACATAGTCTCTCTGTGACAAGTGCTAACACAATTGAAACTATAAACAGTTAAAGGTTGTGTGAAGAAAACAATCATTTATCACAACTATATATATATATACAACTTTAGATTGTTCCTTTCCAATAGTAAAATATTAAGTATCATTTTATAAATTTACTATAATTAATCCTTCTAAGTAATCAAAAGATCATAAATGAATCATTCTCTCTGCTGCAAAAATTGAATCAAACGTTTTTTTGAACTTATTAATGAAAACTGAAGCTGTCAAGTCCAAATGCAACAAGATCTGGACAATATCCAGGCTGACAACAACCAACAACAAAAACAAAGTTGCTGGAAAAGTTCAGCAGGTCTGGTAGCATCTGTGAAGGGAAAAAACAGAGTTAACATTTCGGGTCCGGTGACCTTTCCTCAGAAATGAAAACACCCAAATTTTGTTCTTGCCACACAAATGCCAGACAACGACCATCTCCAACAAGAGACAATCTAAACACAGATACTAGGAACTGCAGATGCTGGAGAATCTGAGATAACAAGGTGTAGAGCTGGATGAACACAGTGGGCCAAGCAGCATCATAGGAGCAGAAAAGCAGGGTTAGGTGGGTTAGCCATGGGAAATGCAGGGTTACAGGGATAGGATGGGGTTGCATGTCAGGGAGGGATGCTCTTCATTCAGCTGATGCAGACTAAATGGACCGAATGGCTTATTTCTGCTTTCCTGCTCCTCTGATGCTGCTTGGCCTGCTGTGTTCATCCAGCTCTACACCTTGTTATCTCACAATCTAATCACAAACTCCTTGATTCTCAATAGCATTGTCATCACTGAATCCCTGACGATCAATACCCTGGGAGTTACCATTGACCAAAAGCTGAACTGGACTAACCAAATAAGTACTGACGCTAAAAAAGCAAAGGCTAAAAATCTTGCAGCAAATAACTGACTCGACTTCCTACAGACTGTCCACCATCTAGAAGGCACAAGTCAGGAGTGAGATGGAATTCTCCTCATTTGCCTGGGTGAGTGCAGCTCCAGCAACACTTGCAGACCACTTGATTGGCACCACATCAACAAGCATCCACTCCCTCCACCACCAATGCTCAGTGGCACCTATGTGTACCATCTACACAATGTACGGTAGAAATTCACCAAGGCTCCTTAGACAACACGCTGCAAATCCATGATTGCCATCTAGAAGGACAAGGGCAGCTGATACATGGGAACAATAAACCCTGCAAATTCCACATCCAAGTCTCTCACCATCCTGACTTGGAAATATATCGCCGTTCATTCACTGTTGCTGGGTCAAAATCCTGGAATTCCCTCCCTAAGGGCATTGTGGGTGTACCTACAGACCGTGGGCTGCAGCAATTCAAGAAGGCAGCTCACCACCACCTTCTCAACACTTCACAGCGCTAGGGACCCCGGTTAGATTCCAGCCTCAGGTGACTGCGTGGCGTTTGCACATTCACCCCATGTCTGTGCGGGTTTCCTCCGAGTGCTCCAGTTTCTCCCACAGTCTGAAGATGTGCGGGTTAGGTGGGTTAGCCATGGGAAATGCAGGGTTACAGGGATAGGATGGGGATGCATGTCAGGGTGGGATGCTCTTCGTTCAGCTGATGCAGACTAAATGGACCGAATGGCTTATTTCTGCACAGTAGGGATTCTATGGCTCTATGAGCTATGGATAGGTAATAAATGCTGGCCCAGCCAGTGACTCCCACATCCCATGAATGAATAAAACATGTCTACCAATGCTTCAGTGAAGTAACCCACTGAGCCACTTCTTGCTAGTTTCTCCACTTTATAGATTAATGAATCTACCTTCCTAATCTTTTCTATCCTCATTTCCAAAGAGGACAATCAGAATGGGAAACAAAAATAATCTTCCAGATCCAGTGTTGCTCAATAATTAATCAGAAGCATGAACAGAAAAAAACACATTTTCAGGAAAGGTTGAGGGAGCTAAGGCTTTTTTCATTGGAGCGAAGAAGGATGAGAGGTGCCTTGATAGAGGTTTACAAGATGATGAGAGGCACAGACAGAATGGATACCCAGAGACTTTTTCCCGGGGCGGAAATGCCTATTACAAGGGGGCATCATTTTAAGGTGATTGGAGGAAGGTATAGGGGAGATGTCAGAGGTAGGTTCTTCACAAAGAGAGTGGTGGGCGTGTGGAATGCGCTGCCGGTAGTGGTAGTGGATGCACATACTTTAGAGATTTTTAAGCGACTCTTGGATAGGCACATGGAGGATAGTAAAATGTAGGGTATGTAGATATTGATCTTAGTAGAATAATAGGTCGGCACAACATTGTGGGCCAAAGAGCCCGTACTGTTCTATGTTCTATGTTCACTGTGGAGTTTGCACATTCTCCCCATGTCAGGGGGGTGTTTCCTCCCACAGTCCAAAGATATGCATGTTAGGTGGACTGGCCATGCTAAATTTCCCATAGTGTACAGCAATGTGCGTACTAGACGGATCATCCATGGGAAATCCAGGGTTACAGGAAAGGGTAGGGGGTGGATCTGAGTGGGATGCTCTTCAGAGAACTGGTGTGGACTTGATGGGCTGAATGGCCTGCTTCCACATTGTAGGGATTCTATGATTCCAATTCATTTGTAGGAATCCATGGATATTAAATGTGGAGTTGGAGGGGAAAAGAGCGTGACAGTGAAGAAATTGATAATAACTGAGGGAGCGCTTGAAATGGTAAGTTTGGACAGTTTTGAAGTTGATATTTAGAAAGATCTGGATATTAAACGAAGAACTTTTCAGAGATTTAGGGGTACAACAGTTGTAAGTTCTACGACCAATGAAAACAGATATGACGATAGAGATTCATGGATTATGAATTTGTGTGCAATGAAGATATGTCCAATTAAAATGTCCCAAATCATTTAGTAAATTAAAGCAAATAGTTTTACTGTAATAAAATTATCATCAGTTTATAATGAAGCCTAACGACTAACTTAGTCACGTGGAGCAGGGAAATGTAGCTCACACAGCTCAATGGGAACCAATGCCTCAAGTAATAGTGATTTTTCTGTCCACACAGTCTTATTTTAACGTTCCACTTTGTTTAAATCATGCTCATTCTGCACTGATATTCTTGTACAATCTAAATGTAATGCAGATGAGACACCTGGATTCTGTTTCGTTAAAATCTCTACTGGATTTAGATGCAGCTAAACTAATAGAGACAGCACACTGTAACCTCCTAACACAGCCCAGACCTAGAGTAAAGAGTCATTTCACAATATCTACATACTTTGGCTCATTGGCATGTTGAGCTCCTTAAAGGGTAGTCACCTGAATGGTAAAACCACAACATCCGCCTTTAATTCGAATTCGAACAGTCTGTCATTTTGGTGGTTTGACATCTGCTAGACAGGATGTTTCCTCTATTGGGAGAATCTAAGACCAGGGGAGTCAGTGTCGGACAATAAGGAGTCGCCCATTTAAAACAACTATGAGGTTGTTTCTCATAAAGGATCGTGAGCCTTTGTAACTTTTCCTGAAAAGTGGTGGAGGCAGAGTGTTTGAACATTTTTAAGTCAGAGGTGAATAGATTCTTGCTAAGGAACGAGGTGAAAGGTTACTGGAGGAATAAGCAGGAGTATGGATTTCAGGTTACAATCAGATCAGCTGCGATCTTTTTAAATGGCAGTGCACAATTGAATCGCCAACTCCTGCTCCCTGACAACAAGGTGCAGGGCTGGATGAACACAGCAGGCCAAGCAGCATCATAGGAGCAGAGAGGCTGACGTTTCGGGCCTAGACCCTTCATCAGAAAAGGGGGAGGGGAAGGGGGTTCTGAAATAAATAGGGAGAGAGTGGGAGGCGGATAGAAGATGGATAGAGGAGAGGATAGGTGGAGAGGAAACAAACAGGTCGAAGAGGCGGGGATGGAGTCAGTAAAGGTGAGTGTAGGTAGGGAGTTAGGGAGGGGATAGGTCAGTCCAGGGAGGACGGACAGGTCAAGGGGGCAGGATGAGGTTAGTCGGTAGGAGATGGGGGTGCGGCTTGAGGTGGGAGGAGGGGATAGGTGGGAGGAAGGACGGGTTAGGGAGGCGGGGACGAGCTGGGCTGGTTTTGGGATGCGGTAGGGGGAGGGGAGATTTTGAAGCTTGTGTGAAATCCTGCTCCTTGCTCGTTTTGAGAACTCTACC